TAAAAAATAAAAGTACACACATTTCGTGAGTGAGGGGACTCCAGAGACCCTCAGGCAGAGTGTCAAGGGGAAGTGGGCAGGGACTCAGGTTAGACGTCAGGGCCAGTGGAAGCCAAGAAATGGAAAAAAGACTAGAATCTAATTAACTGTCAGGAAAAGAAAAGAGAATGAAAATGAGAATATGGTAAATATAACAACCTAATGCTTTATTTTTATTTTATTATTCAGCTGTAAAATAGGAACACATTTTTTCTGTAAGCTGAGGGGATGGAAAAAGTGGAAAAGGAGAAACTGAATGTGCAAGAACAAGAAAATTACTAATCAGACAAATTCCTAGGGCCAGTGAGAGATGAAGGAAGAAAGGTCAGAAACAGAAGCTTAAAGTGACAGGAATGTGAGATAACCCTTACTGTCTTATTTAAAAGATCACTACTTTAAAAAAAGAAATAGCTATAGATTATAAAGACAGTTTCACAAATGCTGTCAATTTTGATTTTTAAGGCTACAGCTTATAAAGATAGGGTCATAAATGGTGTCAGTTTCAATTTTTCAAAGTATCTTCATCTATAAAAGAGGCTTCCAAAACCAAAATATAGTATACTCTCTTTTCTTTAATAAAATAACGGAAATTCTGTAGAAGTAGCTTTTAATATTCCTCTCTCCCACTCTTGAAAGTTTTCTGGCAGTCAAAATTCTCATTATAATATGATTTATTTTTGATAAGTCATTACATTTTTCTTAAATCTTTCCAGTATTCCTTAGTAGAGTGTCACTAGATTAAATTAATCACCTCGAGCTGCCATATTTCAAAAAGGGGCTGATTTTTCCATTGATTAGCAATCATTTCACTTTTTGCTGTTGTATCATCACAGACTCCCTTGACAGTTTGAAGTTGTTAAAATACTGAGGTTTTTCCCTCATTCTTTTGCTTTATAAATCACTATATTAACTATTCATGTAAGCAGGATAATAGTGCCAGAAAATAGGTCACGAAGCATTGAGCCACAATAACTACCCAGAAAGAAATCTATCCTGTAATTTTAGACAAATGAATATAGAAATACTAATTTGTACCTTGTTTTAATCAACTATAAAATGTGAAGCCACTTCTGCATTCAATATCCCATAAAATTGGGTTTGATGTACTCATGACGATTAATATGAAGTGTTTCATATTCAATTTCAGGCCATGCTAGCTATGCTGACTATGAAAATATATTTTGTATTTCTATGGTGACTTTTTCTTCAGCATCTCAAAGACATTTTAGCTATTTAAATTTTCATTACATTGGAAAACCATTAAACTAAATATCAGTCAGGGATATTGCCAGAAAACTAAATCGTAGGAAGTTTGAGTGAGTTTTTCACCCAATACAATATCTATTTAATATCTGAGAATAGCATTTAGGACTCAAGAAAGATGCTTGTGAATTCTAAATCAATTTCAAATTAGCATGCCTGGGAAATAAAAAATACCAAAGTATTCATCATACAATTGTAGGACAGAAATTTATAATTCTGTTACAAAGTAAAAAGAACTGCTATATTATTTTTAATGACAGAATTTCAAATACCATTAAGAACTGTCCAGGTTTGCTGATGTCAGAAATTATAAAAAAAATCTACAATAGGTTAATTACTTTATAGTTTGTAAATTCAATACTATTTTACTAGCATTACTATTTTTGAGAAAGTATTGAAATTAAATTGCATTCAGTAAATGACAATTACTAGGGAAACACCGCAAATGGAATTACTGTCTCTGAACTGCAACTCAGAGAGCTACATATGTTGATTTTTGATAACCCCTGAAAAACAAAATTTTAAGCATTATGTAACACTTTGTGCAAATGATATAGCTTGAGAGCCAGTACACATTTAATAATAAAATACTACTTGGTTAATATACTTAGCTAACATAACATATAAATTACTTCATTAATACATAATATACTTAGTTAATATTATTATAGTAATAAAATTAGTTAATGCATAATAATATATAAAATTAATAAAATATAATTAATAAGTGTATTAAGTAATTACTCAGTTAACATACGGTGTGTTTCATAAAAAACGCCTTTGGTAGTTATATTCATGTGTTGTGTTAATATTCTAAAGCCTTATTTGTGCAACGTGAGAAGATATTACTCTAGTAAAATAAAATCACTGAAAGTTCAACATGTTGACATACTTTGCTAACAGATCTTCCCCACATTGTCTCAAGTTTGGTTTTATTCACCCAAAGCTTTTTGCAATACTAGGGTGATGCTTCAATTGTCAAACATGCCATTTTAATGAAAACGGACTGGAAACAAAGAGAAAATGGTAAGCTGGAGTCATCACACTCTTGAACAGAAGGTGGCAGCAGCTGAAAGGTCTGCACTCTCATTCAGAGGACTTCTCAGTAACATGCTGTACTTCCACTCTAACCATCTTCTCACTTTGGTTTTATTGTTTTCCAATAAATTATTATGAAAGAAATTATGACTATACTAATGCAATCATGTCAAAATATGACTAAGTAATCTATCCATTCTTAACTAATTTTTAAATGCACCATTTTATAAAATAATTTTGTATTTGAGATTGTAATTTTTTATTTGCGAGTCACTTTTTGTTCTAATGCACACATTTAAAATTAATGTAGCATTATAATATTTTAATCTCTGAGTGTATGATCTGCTCACTTTTTCTTAAAATATGGACTTATCTATTTTTTATTCCAGGAAAAAAAACCTTTATCATCACTCCGTCAAGTTCTAAAAGAATCCCCTTAGAATTTTCATTAGGATTGACTGAACATGATAAAAATTGATAGAGTCAACAGTTTTCCTGCTCAGGATCAGGATATCATTTTCCAAAGAGTAAGACTTGCCTCTCAGTAAAATAATATAGTTTTATTTCTTAGGTCCTTCACACCTACACTAGATTTATTTCTAGCATATGTAAGGAAATTAATTAAATTTAGTAATGAAATAAAGCTAACATAATTTTTATTATTTATTTTGTGAATAGTATCTCTTTTATTTCATTATTCTATTATTTTGCATTATGGAAATCTTGTGAGTTTTCATGTTTATTTTATTCAAAACATTATTTTGAACTCTATTTTTCATGGCTTTTCAGGAGTCTGCTGAAATTGTGTGGATACAATGACATATTACTAAGCCCCAATTTCTGTGATAAGTGCTTTAAATTTATTACTATATTTAATCCTTAACAAAACCCTTAGGAAATAGTATATTGGTCAGAGTTCTATTATAAAATACATATTAAAATATATCAAATTAAATATTTTTCTATTATAAAATACATATTAAAATATATCAAATTAAATATTTTTCTATTATGAAATACATATTAAAATATATCAAATAAAATTTTCTATTGTAAAATATATATTATTTTAACTGAAAATATTAGGGAAAGAGGAGAGAACCCTGTGAAAACTGCAA